TACTGAAATAGTGAACATTACACGCTCGTTGATGACAGCTTAAATCTGCATCTTCTCTCTCCAAGATCAAGGTTTTAAATACTATGTTATGTCATTTATTTAGAAGTATCAAAGATTTTGAAACTGCAAAATATTGTTCAGCAAATCCCTTGTCAGTGTCTCAAAGAACAGGTCTAAGAGGGCATCTCAGAGAATTCCTTGCTCCACCTCCAACTCCCTCTATTTCCTAAACCTTGAAACCCTTTCTTCTACTGGTTCTTTTCTCTTAGCCTTCAACATGGTAGGGCCTCTATCCTTCCTTGACTCTTTCTCCTCTTCTAGACATGATTCTACCTCTTTCTTTTCTTGGTCAGGGTTTTTGAAAAAAATAACGCACATTCAAAGTGTGGTGCCCACCCCCTCAGCCCCTGTCCTTCCTTCAGCCCACGAGGCTGAGGCTCCTGCCAGGCCTCCTGCACTGGCCTCGGGGACTTGGGGACCTCCCTGCAGCGTGACACTGTTGAGCAGCCATCTCTCTCCCTTGGGTCCTGCAGCCCCTCTCTCCAGGCTCCTCTCTCTTTCCTTCCTTCTCTCCCACCTCCGTCCTGGGTTGGCTCCTCTTCCCCTGTGTTCTCCACGGGCCCCAGCCTTTCTCTCTTCTCACTCTGCAGGTGGGGAAGGTAGATCTCCACCTTTTTGGGTTTGCGGCACATGTTGGAACTGGAGAATTTTTGGAGGCAGCGTGATGGGATTAATCTGTATGAACTAGCCCCTTCCCACCGCGCTGCTGTTTAGCTAGCAATGCCTGTTCCCAGGGGCTCACGAAGCCCCTTCGGAACCACCCCCGGAACCTGCAGGAGTCACCCCGGCCTGATGGTAAGTGATGGAATGCCTTGCCTCTCAACTGCTCCCCTCGGCAAGAAGGGGCGGTCCCTTCCCTGTGCAGAGACTTGCACTGGAGGCTCAAGTCTGAATTCTATCTGACGGGCAGCACCACCCCAGCCCGCTGCGGGATTCTGGGGAATGGGGTGGGGGGCAGCCTTTACGGAGGGTGGGGCCACTGCCCTACACCGTCACATCCCTCTATGTTGTATCTTTTTATTGTTGCTGTTGTGATACAATATCCGTAGCATAAAATTTACTCTGCTAACTACACTAAAGTGTACAGTTCAGTGGCATTAAGAACTCTGCCAGGGCAAGAGGCGACCTTGTCCTCCGGTCCCACCTCTCAGGACACCGCCCGGAGCATAGGACGGTGCAAAATACTTAGGAATAAACCACCGAGG